GGGGGGGGGGGGGGTGTGATGTCATCACTCACACGGACAGGACGGGTGCCAGCAGATCCAAGGAGCCCAGCAGGACGCCCAGCTCTGCCAGCAGCAGGGCGGGCAGCAGAGCCCAGCGGTCAGCGGAGGACACGGCCTGTGGGGTCAGGGGGGGTCGTGGGGGGTCATGGGGCGCTATGGGGCTCTGTGGGTCACTATAAGGTCGCTATGGGGAAGTTACGGGGCTCTATGGGGTGCTGTGGGGTCTCTATGGGATCCCTATGGGTCTCTATGGGGCACTTCTGGGGGTCTATAGGGCTCTATGGGGTGGCTATAGGGTGGCTATAGGGTCACTATGTGTTTCTATGAATCTCTATGGGGCAGTTATGGGTCCCTATGGAGTCTCTATGGATCCCTGTGGGGTCTCCATGGGGCAGTTATGGGGCTCTATGGGTCTCTATGGGGTCCCTATGGGTCCCTATGGGGTCTCTATGTGTTCCTATGGATCTCTATGGGTCCCTATGGGTTCCTTATGGATCTCTATGGGTCCCTATGGGGTCTCTATGGATCTCTACGGGGTTCTATGGGTCTCTATGGGTCTTCATGGGTCCCTATGGGGTCCCTATGGGTCTCTATGGGGTCCCTATGGGTCTCTATGGGTCTTCATGGGTCCCTATGGGGTCCCTATGGGTCTCTATGGGGCTCTATGGGTCCCTATGGGGTCCCTATGGGTCTCTATGGGGTCCCTATGGGTCTCTATGGGTCTTCATGGGTCCTTATGGAGTCCCTATGTGTCTCTATGGGGCAGTTATGGGGCTCTCTGGGGTCCCTCTGTGTCCCTATGGCTCCCCATCGCCATGGTTGCCATGGTTACCGCGGTTCCCTACGCCACGGTTTCCGGTCGCCATGGTAACGGTGACTCACGTGCGGCAGCGGCAGCGCCCTGCTCCTGGCCAGGCCCCGCAGCAGCCGCGCCGCCCCCAGCAGCGCCGTCAGCCCCGCCCCCAGCGCCGCCAGCCCCGCCCCCAGCAGCGGCAGCCAATGGGGCCACGAGAGCGAGGAGAGAACCGGGCGCGAGGAGAGCGAGGAGCCGAACCTGGGGGACGGGGGGGGTCATGGGGGCTGTTGTGGGGCTCTGTGGGGCCCCATGGGGTGGTTATGGGGCTGTTGTGGGGCTCTATGGGGTGGTTATGGGGCTGTTGTGGGGCTCCATGTATAGGGTTGTTATGGGGTGGGTTATGAAGCTCTATGGGGTGGGATGTGGGGCTCTATGGGGATATGTGGGCTCTATGGGGTGGTTATGGGGTGGGATGTGGGGCTCCATGGGGGGTTATGGAGTGGGATATGGGGCTCTATGGGTGGTTATGGGGCTCTATAGGGTGGTTATGGGGTGGGACGTGGGGCTCTATGGGGAGTTATGGGGCTCTATGGGGTGGTTATGGGGCTGTTATGGGGTGTCTCTGGGATTCTATGGGGTCTCTCACTTGTCCCGCAGCAGCTGCCCCTCCACAGAGGCCCCCAAGAGCAGTGCTGAGCTCAGATCTGTGCTGTTAAGGAAAACGAGCCCGGAACACCCCAAAACC